TTTTGAAGTCAAACATGTAGAAAAGCATTGGAGACATTCATTTGGAATATTGTCATTTATGATGAAGTGTGATTATAAGGAGAAGACGAATATTAGGTATTTTTTCTACAGGATTGAAAGTATTCATACAGTTGAGATCAAATTCGTTTTGATATCCCAAAGCCACTAGTCGTGCTTTATAGCAAGCAACCAAACTATTAGTGTTGCATTTGATTTGGTATGCCCACTTACTACCAAGTATAAGTTGTTCGATCGGAGGAAAAACTAGCTGCTAAGTATGTTGGTTTTGCAAGGCTTTAAATTCTTCATCCATAGCTTGTTGCCATTGAATGTGTTTAACCGCCTGCTTGTAGGTAGTCAATTTCTGTTGCAAAGAGGTGTCATGGGGAAGGTAAAAAATGATCTTCTAGGAAAGAGAACCTGTTTGAGATTGTGTAACCATAGTATTCTTCGGTGGGAGACGTTTAGATAATGGGAGATGGTTGTTGGGTTGATTCTTGGGGGAAGAGCAAGCTAATGGTGAGGTGTGGGGTCGAGTGGGCGAACAACTAGCTTGGCGGGTGGTTGCATTGGGAGAAATGACAGATTGAGTTGAAGATGGGGTGGCTTACTAGGAGAACAGATTGAGTTGTTGCCACCCCACAATAACTGTCATTTCAGCACAGATTGAGTTGAAGATGAGGAGGGCTACTAGGAGATGGTGAAGCGTGGCTAGTCAGGCGCACATCCTTATAGGAAAAAAATGATTCATTGAAGGTAGCGTGATGAGTGATTATCAACTTGCCAGTGATTGGGTTGAGACGCTTATATCCTGTGGTATGGAAGGGATGGCCAAGAAATACACAAAGCAATGATCTTGGTTGTTGTTTATTTCTGTGAAGAGGAGGAAGCCACGGAAAGCATTAACAATCAAAGGATTTGAGTTGATTGTAGCTAGGTGCGGTGCCATATAAGAGCTGGTATCGTGAAAGACGTCTCGTAACGGTAGCTGGTAACCTATTGATCGAATATATAACTGTATAAACTGTTTCAAGACAATGTAAAGAAGGAACATAGGAATCTGACTGAGAGCCCGAATTGTCTCTAAAATGCGTCGATGCTTGCGTTCAGCAACTCTGTTTTGCTGTGGAGTGTTGAGATAGCTCAATTGGTTAATGATGACATTCTGAATAAGGAAATTTTTAAAAATGTGATTGGTATATTTGCTGTCATTTTTTTTTTGAAGAGCCTTGATTTTGTGATTGAGCTGAAGTTCAACTTCTTGCTTGAATTTGAGAAAAGGCTAAAAAACCCAAATATATCAAGAAAAATCATCTCTGAAAAGCCCATAATATTTGTACCCTTAAGCAGAAACAATAGGGGAAGGTCCCTAGACATCCGTATAAATTAATTCTAAAGGAATATATTGTGTGTTAGTACAATTAGTAAATGAAAGACAATGACATTCAATTGTGGCAGAGGAAGTGCAAAAGGCAAAATTAGAAAAAATCTGTAATAGTGGTTACTAGTTGGCGATGAGTTGAATGACTTGTTCTGCAGATGTCCAAGTCTCTGATGCCACTGAGTAGAAGAAGGAGCCACCGAAATGATAGTTAGTGGGGATTCAATATAAACTATGATTGCACGAACCCAAAAGAAGAAGCCGCCATGTCGAGTGGTCCTTAATTTGATATCCATTAACATCAAAGATAATCATACAGTTATTATCAAGTGTTGATTGAGAGATAGAAATTAAATTGTAAGAAATATGCGAAGTGAGTAAAAGTCTGGAAAGTAAGATCTTATGGTTTGGAAGCAGTAAGATGTCAGTGCTTGAATGTTTAATTGGGAATGTATGAATATTGCCAACAATAACTGTCTCATTCCCTTGATATGGTTCAGGTTGAGTAACTTGACTATAATCTGATGTGAGATGAGTGGTTGTTCCAATATCTAGATACCAATCTGACCGAGAGGATGGGGAAGAAGAAGTAATATATGCAGTATAAGAGTTAGGTGGTAGGGGAGTGATGGTCTTGGGTTGATATTGAATATTCAAATGGTGCCAATAAGTAGAAGCGAGGTGGCGATATTTATTACATATTTTATAGGTAACCTGACCGCGAGAGGGAGGATTGGGAGCTACAACAGATTTTTTGGAGTAAGGATTATAGGTATTGCCTTTGCCTTTATAAAATTTGCCTTTAAATTTAGATGTGTATAAAGCCATTTACGATTCTGGATCAGTGGAAGCTAAAATGTGATCGGTAAACTGATAAATTTTATCACTAATGAGAAGTACATACATCTCATCAAGGCTAATGGGTGTGGATAGCGTTCTTATGGCAGTCTTGCAAGGATTATAGAATGTCAGAAGACCTTTCAAGATATAGAGAATGACGTCCTCAATGTCGACACGAGAACCAACAGTATATATGTTATCAACAATAGCCTTAATTTGCATGAGAGACTGAGACATATTGAGGTTGTGTATCGTAATATTGTATAACTCGTTGCTTAGTTGCATTATACGGAAGTGATTTGTGGCATGTCGACACAACTCCAAGGTTGTCCAAACTTCGTTGCTGGTCTCTAATTTCAAAACATATGGTAGCATAATGGCTGAAATGGTAGAGTAAAGCACTGCAAATAAATTTAATCGGTGAGTTGCCATGTAATATAGACAAGATTTGGAGAAGAGATGCCCGAAGCATTGAGAACCATAGGTGGAGAAGTGGTTAGGTTACCATTAAGAAATCCCAAGAAACCGTTGGCTTTAGTAATCTTGATGATTTGAGAGCGCCATAGAGGATAAATAGCCACAATAAGAGTGTTGGTTACCATGGATTTCATGTTGGCCATGAGAAATTTTAGTGAGTGAGAAATGGGATTTTCAGAAATCCTGAGATTAGCTAGCCTGTCTAACATATTGGAGGTATCTGAATCATCTATAATTGGAATGCAACAGGTGAGAATAATCGAACTAGAGCCTGTTGAAGAGATCGAGCGAGTAGAGTGAGGTTTCAAAAACCACAATTTAGGCATCGTTACCCTTGGAGAAAAATAACAGCATAAGAGAAAGATCCACAAAGAGGAAGGAGGATAGGAAGAAATAAAGAAAGAGAAAAATTCTTTGAGATGCCTTCAAGTAAACCTTCTCTGATACCATGTAAACAGAGAAAAGGAACACGAGCAATCACAAACTCAAACCGGACGGAATGAAGAGTTCTTGCGATATGTTATTGTTACATGTGGACTCAAATATTACAGAGCATATAAACAGATGGATAGTTAAGCTTAAGATAAGTATTACAGGTAAGTAAATATATCAAACCTTAAGCTAGTGACTCAAGATTAATAGAATTTATTCAGGTTCGGTATTACCTATCGTTTGTAAGATACACGAGCCTACCAATCAACTATTAGCTTCACCATCACCCCTTTTGTTGGCTGACAATTCTTGAAAAAACTGTTATCGTAAGCATTCAGCTCAACCTAATGGAATGGTATAGCGTACCCTATTTTGCTCTCAATTTATTAGTGAGTTTGAAGATTAAAACTTCTCAAAGCATGCGAGTTAGATTGTGACAATATTTCGTGCAATTAGTAACATTAAATTGACCTTGAAAGAGAATTTCAACAAAACAAAGCAAATCCCATTAATTTTTTGTCAACCCTAAATTCCATCGCTGCACATTCTCAAAAATTATGGCTCACATATTAGCAACTTTTTTTTTGCACTATTAAAACAAGCAAATCCTTATGAAGATTGTGCTAAAATTTAGGGCAATTTACATACATGCCACATAATTCTTATATATTTACATATTCAGCACCCGAAAGAATGATATTTACATTTATTTACACTTTGGTATCATAGATTTATACATGAGAATACATATTTCATTTTAAAAAGAGAATGATGGTGATATTTTTTTATGTGACATCAAAATTTTAACTGCCATGCACATAAATATAAATGTTTAGCGTTTAATTATGTACATATATAAGAAATGAGTGATGTGCATTTAAATGCCCCAAAAATTTAGTCTTTTGGTGACCCGTAAATAAACTTTTAAAGTTTATTATACTTAAAGCATTAAGAGTTTCAAAAAGATACCTTTAGTTCATTGATGGAAGTTTGTCATCGATGAGAACTATTGCCACAAACACCTTTCCTATTCTGGCCATAATGTGTAGGTTGACTAGGCCGACCTAGATGGCACGATGGCCAAATGACATTTTGATAAAATGAGGGCATGGCCTAATGTATTTTTTTGTTAATTAGAATGAGAAAAGTTTATAGACATACATCATAATAAGAACCATATTAAAATATAATTATCTAAAAGGGCATTTACATACCACCCAATATGAATTTATGTACATATCTAACAGCTAAACTTTCATTTTTAAATTTATACCACTAAAAGCTCTCATATCACATAAAAATACCACCATGTTAACTTTTAAAGTGAAGCAAACTTTCCCATGCATAGTTAAGATGGTATGTATGTAAAAACTGAAATTTAGGTGTTAGAAATGTATATGGATGGGACAGAGTGGCATGAAAGTCTAATCTCCCAAACCACGGAAATAGCTGTTGTTAAGAAGCTATCTATCCAGTTCAACATTTAAAGAAAGGAAAATAAGGAAAATTTACATGGAAAGGAAAATTTACATGCACACCACACAATTCTTATATATTTACATATCTAACACCTAAACTTCCATATTTATATTTATAATACGTTAATATCATAAAACTATGTAAGAAAAGATTATTTCACTTTTAAAAATCAAGTGATAGTGGTATTGTTGTAATGCTAAAAATTTGTGTGCTGTGCAGGTAAATATAAAAGTGTAGGAGTTAGACGTGTAAATACATATGAATTGTGTGGTATGTGTGTAAATGCCCCTTAAAAGGAAATATACCCAAACTTACTTACACTCAGGCTCCGAATTATGAATAACAACAAATTCCTCTTTTTTTACGATCAAATAAGAAAATTTCAGGCTCACAAAAATAAATAAATAAATAAATAAATAAAAATTCAAGTTCTCAAACATTATGGATAACTTGGAATGAAAATCATTAAATAAATGAAAAGGTTAATTCTCCAACTTACAATTACAGTTGCTTTCGGTAATTTGCAATTCTACAGGTAGGCTCCTTCCATGAGCGCAAAGAATGCAAGCTTTAAGGAAAGATGATGGATCCGAAATTAAGAAGCAGAGAACTGTGCGATAATGGGAAATTAAGATCTCAAATAATATCTCTGGCCATCCTTAATGCTTTTTCTCTTGGATGTGTAGGATCGCTTATGGGTAGTGTTAGCAGACACCGATCGGCTGAATCATCATCACTCTCCATGGTTGAAGCAAAAGACTCCGATCCATCTTCTAGTAGCCGTTTTTTCATCAAAAGAAAAGCTGAAAGTTAGAACTTGATAAATTTCATACATGTAATATTTGTTGGTTGTATAAGTTCAATTTGAATAGTGAATGAGTTTTAGTTTCAGTGGTGAATTGTAAGGATTTACCATTTATGAAACAAAGTAATAAAGTAGCTCTTCAAAGATGAACTTCCCAGTTGAAAAGGAAAATTTACATAAATACCATACAGTTCTTATATATTTACATATCCAACACCTAAACTGCCCATTTCACTCTAAAAATGAAGTGGTATTTTGATGTGATATTAAGGATTTGAGGTTATTCGTGTAATGAAAGTTTAGGTGTCAGGTATGTAAATATATAAGAATTCTGTAATATTCATGTAGATGCACCAATTCAGAATCTCGCGTGACTGGTATAGCCGATTAGCAGTGACAACCCTTTTCTGTTAAATGAGAACCGATTGGACATTTCAAAAATAAAGAAAATGAGACCAAATTGGACTGGCAAGGTCTGGGTTGAACAATTCATCAGAATGGACAGCACCACAAAAAAAAAATAAATAAATAAATAAAAACTGTTAAGTGAAAGCAATAGAAAGTCCAAAAATCACTTTAGCTGGAACAGATTGGAATCCACATTGACATAAAACATGTCATCTCTTGTTATATTCATAAATATAACTCCATTAGAATACTTATCAGCTCAATATAGGCGATGTTTTCAGTTAAGGAATTTTCGGAATTTTATGAACAATAGGGTTATTTTGATTGAAAAGCATATTCACACAATGCTTGCAGTTATTTCAAACAGGGACCACAGCAGGCAATGCAGATTGACTAGTCATATTTTTTGGGGGCATTCACATACATACCACTCAATTCTTATGTTTTACATATCTAACACCTAATCATTGCTTTTTACACTTATAACATCCAAATCTTTCATATCACATAAATAATACCACTATTTAAACTTTTAAAAATTGAAATAGATCTTTTCATGTATGGGTAATGTGACATATGTAAAATAAGAAACATAGGTGTTAGATACGTAAATACAAAAGAATTGAGAGGCATGCATGTAAATCTTCCATTTTTTCTTTTTGGAAACAGTTGACTAGTTTTAGGCTTCATAAAGAGAGTCCTCAACAACCAAATTTGCCAAATCTTTAATGGAAGAACCACACGCAGCATGCAAAAATCGTATAATGCTAAAAGCATAAGAACCAGGATAGAAGCATAACATCTCTAAGTCAAAATAATAAAATCTAGCAATGAGGAAAACGTACCAGATACTGCTGAATGATCTGGTAAATGGCTGACAGCTGAGACCTGAATGTTTTCAGGCAGGAGACAGTTGCATAACGAACCTGAAACTTTCAAAAGGTAAACAAATTAAAAGAAAAAAACGTTAAAATAGTCCCCCGACTCTTTTAAGGGGCCTATTTTAGTTCCAGACTTTACAAAATGTCAAATCCCTAAACCCTTTTAAATTGGGCTGAAATAGCCCACGACAACGACAATTTAAACATGTATTAAAAAAGTCTGGTAACTAAATTGACATATTTAGAGACTCAGGACTAAAATAACTCCACGTAAATAGTCAGGGGGCTATTTTGGAACTGTAATCCTAATTAAAATAATCATATTTCAAACAACGAAAAACTATTCAGCAATGATGTATATCTACCTAGTCTGGCAAGTCGATTTACCCATCCTGGAATTGGTTTTCCAGTCAGACGCATACACACATCATCAGTAAAATGATTGCAGTTTTTTGCAATCAAATGGTAGGAATCACCATAGTACTTCCCAGAAAGCTGTTCCATGAACAAGCGGAACTCCAAACGAGACATGTCTGTGGAGCCCAACCACACAGAACGACGAAAAACAAAACCAGGGCAGCTTTTGGGCTCTACTTCAAATACTCCACTTGTTGGGTACTCATGGGCGCCAAAGCCATACTCCATTCCATGAACTGTTTCGATTTATTTAAAGTTAGTACTATGGATCAAGTAAACAAAGCTATAAAATCAAATTAGATGGGGAAATAATTTTTTTCAGTTTTCAGTTATTGTGCTCTATCATCATTAACAATTGGTATTTCTGATTTACACAAATGATGACAAAAATATCTCAAAGCATTTCACTAGTCAGTAAGAAAAGTATGTCTTAGTTTCTGAGAAAAGTTGGTATGCATATAATTAGCTGGACTAATCGTCTCTTCTACTCTCGGAAGCTCACAGATCAGTTATTTCAATTTTACAAACAGGGACCTCCCTTGTAGCAGTAATATTAAGCAAAACTCAGATTTTTAAGCAGACCTGGATTACAATAGTATTGAATACCTTAAAAAAAATGAAGTGCCAACCAAAAGGCTGCACTGTATCATCCATACAAGCAAAATCAAATAAGCTGACAATTTTAACCAACCATTTGGATAAATCAGCCAATCAGGTTCCTTCTCCACCTACCCAAGACTTCAGATTACCAGAGTACATTTAGCTTTTAAGGGAATCAATTTGACTAGAAGCCATAAAGAAAGAGAGATCAATTTTAGATTAGCAACGGATAGCACAAATAGGAAAACTATAGAAGGAAAAGAGAGGCTGGCCATGCTAGACAAATAACCATCTCCAACCACCTTGGAAACATGGAAAGAAGTTCCTCCATTTTGGAAAATTTGAAATTCAAAATTCAAAGCCTTTAGGAAAATGGTTAAATGTGTTCAATATGCTGTAAAACAATTTTTAATGTTGATTGGAATGAAATTTAGAAGCTGTTGATTAAACAATTAATTTTTCTTTGGCGAGAAAATTAATTTTGCAAGTTTCTTCTAAAATCAAACCTAATCTTCTACTACATTCCTTTCATCATCCCATGGCCAAACCGTACTATCTCCTTTTGAAATATGGGAGACTAAGTTAAATTTCAAAGTCAGTCTAGACTAAATTAACCAGACCAGTCTCAGGTTTACAATCATGTGGCCCACCAAAATCACCTGAACTCCAAGTAAAATCCAAACACTCCTCCACAATCTCCAAATTATGTCAAGTTCATAAGCTCCTCCTATTGCGAACTCTAATTGTTCAAATTCTTCTACAAGCTATTGAGCAGAATCGTGGTTAGCCTTTTCCCAATCCCAGTTACTCCAATACTCATAAACCTCTCCAAATCCAACACTAGAGTTTCCAAGTGATAGTAGAAGGTCTCTACAGGAAGCAGGAGCCTGGAATAATTTATTTGAAAGCCACATCACAACAAAAGAAGAATGAAAATAAAAGTGAAGTGGTTTGAAATCTGTCTGCTATCAGCCAGCTGCTTAAAGTAATAATACTTGTACTATCATTCTGCATAGGGCCGTAATCTAGCCGATATCATTGCTCAGAGTTGGCTTGGTATAATTATAATTTGTTCATGTTCAGCTTGAACTTGTGTCGAGTATTCATACATTGTTTAAGATTGATTTGTTTAACATTTTCAATGTTTAAACTTGATTTGTACTTGATTTGTTTATCACAAATGAACGAGTACTTAAACGAATTAAAAATTCAAATGAGAATCCAGATTTTCATATAAAAAATTTAATAAAAAATTTTACAATTCTAATCGCAGATACTAATTTGTCAATTATGAATTCTAAAATCTTTAAACTTTACTAATTGACTACATAAATCTTATAGATAAGACTACACTAATTCAAATTTTGCAAGTAGAAAAGTTATAGGGATATCATTTACTTACTCATATTAATAAGAAAATAATAACAATTAGACAATCCATATTAATGTTATTGATAATTGCAGTATGATGATCATAAAAAATGAACTCATTACATTCAGGGTTATGAAAACTCTACAAGAAATTTTTTTTATGATATTTTTTTTAACTGTAAATATCTCATTTTAAATTACCATTCACTTATTAGTAAATAAATATATAATTAATAATTAAACTAAAAATATATTGATAAAGAACTACTATCGAGTTTAATATCGAGTATTTAACAAGTTACTTGTTGAACGACAAATGAGTTTGTTCGTTAGAAAAAATTCAACTATGTTCATGTTCAGTTTGTTTAAGTTTCGAGTCTTTAAAAATTGTTCAAGCTTGTTTATTTACTAATTTGAATGAACATGATCGAGTCTTAATCGAGTCAAGTTCAAGTTGGTCATCGAATGCAGTGTTTCATTTATAGCCCTAATTCAGCGTCATCAAGATGGATTTTGTTCCTTTTCAACATCCCTTTCTATCGTTATAGATATATTTAAGGAAGATTGACTAATAAAAAACTCTTAAAGCTTTGCTTCATAATGCTTTCTTTAGCTTCCTTCTATAAATCTGATATATCAAACCTTTGATTTTTATGGTAAACTTCAAATGTAAAAGTTCAAATTTGCACCTGCACCTATACCATGGCTTTATATGCATAAAAAAATGAGTGGTTTTTCATACGATATAGCACAGCACAGCAATATAAGATGAGATCACCGCATGATTAAACCACGCATGATCCTTATGCTAAGGCTTTATATGGTAATGACATATTATCACAATGAGACAATAAGTTGTCACGGCTCTCAAGCAGATGAAAGAGCTTGTTGTAACAAAATAAATAATTATACAATGACATATAAGGGAACTTTTCATGTGGATATATATTGCTATTAGAATAGATAGTAGCCATATCTTAGAATGAACCAATGATAGAACTAGTTGCTTGCCTAGAAGCTTGGATGAGATGACATAAGACTGTAACGCCTCACACTCATACACCTCATAAGAGAGAGTCGTTGCTATGGCATTGCCTGGATGAGCATCCTGATTTAAGGTTACATTTCATCCTAAGTTGCATTAATGAACACTATATCATAAATGGTCCTACATCACATGTTTAACAATGTCAAATCATTTTCAATTTCATAGAACTTTTAATAAATAAAATAGGAAAATAATAAACTTTTAGCACCACACTCACTCAAGCACACGCCTAGTGTGTCTCCTAATTCCTTGAGCTTCGAAATCATATTATTTTGAGAACCCCCTTGTAAATTTGATCACACTAGATTGACTCTAGAATAGATATTTTTTTTCTTTGGTTAGCCTACTTTAAGAGAAACCAAAATAAATAAATGAAGTTCCTCAAAATCCACAAGACCGTACAACATTCCTTGGAATTCATACATAGATGCGCATGCAAGCACACATATTTATTTTAAAGTCCAAATAAATGCAAATACTCTCAAATCAAAATGTCAAAGATTTGCTAATATAAAGTACAATGAAGGATTAGTGGATTTTAGGAAAAAAAATAATACAGAAGATCTTGACTTCAACTGACTAATCCCAAGGAAAAGTGTCCATCTTTCATTTGCAGACATCTATTATTCCTCAGAGTTCTCCTCAACATAGATGAAAATAACATAAAGCATGCGTAATTACCCTATATGTACTCTGTACTTTCTAATTTTGCAAAGCAGTATAAACATGTATCATTTATCTTCAATCAGTTTATCAAATTATAACGTTCTTTTCCACTATGTATTCTCCATGATCAGAAAATATTAGATGGAATGCATACACAACTTTTCGTTATGTGTTTCTAAAACAATCGAAATGTGATATGACAAGTTCTCGAAACTAACATATTAATAAACAAATTCTTATTCATGCTGAGTTTGAGGTGTCAAACAACGTGCACATTTTCTAAATGCAGACTAAAGATTTTCTTAAGAGTCTGAATATGTGCTGATTTTTAATCTTCCATATGCAAACTAAACATTTTCGAATGAATCCTGAAATGTGCTCATTTTGAATCTTCCGAAAACATCAGTACATCTAACTATAGATTAGCTGCAGTAGGATAAATGCACAAACACATTCAAAAAATAGGGGTCAAGCATTGCTGCTTAATTGTAAATTGAAGAGATTAGGTTAGAAACCTTACAACTTAAACAAGAAAACAATATCATGTCATTACAGGGTTCAAAGTAGGGCAATACATGTGAATCATGGTGTTTGAGACAAGAGAGAGAGATAACGTTCAAAATTAACATATTACAAACAATATAATGGTGATTAATGGAGTGGGATAGATGACCATCAAGATAAGAAACGAATTTCACAAAGAAAAGCTTTAAAAAAAGAATGGATAACCTCAAAGAAAGTTTTTTAAGATGCTGAACAAGACATAATCGAAAAATACTTTTCAGATGTATATATGAAAGAGGTTTCATGCAATAACACTATAATCTACTAAAGCTTCACAATTCAGATGAAGTTGAAACAAAGTGCTGTTGCATCCTTTACTTTTGTTGCTCAAGTGAGTTGATCCAACTGACATGCATCATCTAGAAAACTAAGGATCTGTTTGGGGCAGCTTAGATCAGCGGCAGCGTTTTTGAAAACGCCGCCTTTGTATTTGATTCGCACTTTTTGCTTGCGTTGGCCAAAACACCGATTTACAGCGTTCTAATATTTCTATTAGACGCGGATCGCGGGTATAACCCCGCGATCCAGCATTCGACCGAAGCATTTACGCCCCTGCCCTCAAATTCGATCCCCCTAGGGCTCTGCCGAAGGAAGCCGATGCTCTCTGCCGAAGGAAGCCGGTGCTAATCCCTGCCGAAGGAATCCGAAGGATCCATTGATGTGAGATATGTAGATCCATAAGAATCTGATGCTAATCCCTGCTCTTTGCCAAAGGAATCCGAAGTAAAATTTAAGTGTTAGATATGTAAATACATAGGAATTTGGTGGTTTTAGTGTAAAAATGAAAGTTTTGATGTGAGGATTGGTGCATATTTGTTGGAAGAATTGTAGATGTGTAGTTTTACTGTTAATGGGTTTGTAGATAGACAAGCTTGAGCGACGAGTATATCTTTTTTTTTCTTTGAATTGTTATGTAGTGTTTTTTGGATTTTAGTATATTGAATGTGTTTCATTATATTACTGTTGCAAACAGCTCCATTGTACGTGACCAAAATGACTATTTTTACACAAACAGCTGCAAATCATTTGTTCTCAAACTGCAGAAACCAAACAACATAACAGTTTATTCAGTTCAGGGTTATCCAGAAATAGCTACAAATCAGATGTTTTCCAAACGCACAAATCAAACAGCAAGTCATCTTATCCGGATCCCAAACAGCCAGCCAGCTTATTCGAATCAGCTGCTTATCAGCAGATTATCAGGATCAGCTTGGATAAGCTGCAGCTGCCCTAAACAGACCCTAAAGGCGACTTTCAAAGCCGCCTTAAATTTAATGAATTCAGTGTACAAAAACTAGTCTCAATCAAAGCCAAGCAGCTGAAAGACATGTAACCATAATAGCTATATCCCACATGCAAACAGATCATCTATGCCGTTGCAATAGAACAGATAAGCAAAATACCGACTAATACTGTCGGGTGGATGGCTCTTGATCCAATTACTAAAACTGAGCGAATATCCGAACACATTCAAAATAAAGCGTCAGAAAATCAAACAGGCCATGAAAAAAAAAAAAAAAAAAAAAAAAAAAAAAACGAAGTAGATAAAAGTTAGATCGGATTTAAAAAAATAATTCCAAGAGATTCAGTTGAGAAGAGGAAGGAGAACACGCCTTCTATTCCAGAGTGGAAAATTCCTAGCCCGAACCAATAAAGGTAATTGTTGATTGGAGTGAGATCGTAGACGTTCAAGAACAGATGCGACTTGCCGCCGCCGCTCCCATCCCCATTTCTCAGCTCCTTAGTCGATGAAGATCGCGATAGAAGAGAGGGCATGTTAATTCAACTAATCAGAGATTAACACAAAAGATATAAAGCCTTCTAAAAATCCAAAACCAGCTCGTAGAATCGCATCAAAAAGCTCGAAATGATGCCCGAATCAAGTAATTTGGAGCAGCGAGCCGCATTTAGAAAGAAGAAAACCAAGATTTGTGATGACGAAGGGTTGGAGTTACACCCCCGGCAAATCTACGACAAGAGAGCTAAAAGACCGACCTTAGCTGTAAAATAAAAATGGTTGCAAGTAGTGTTTCGTGTGCTTTATCTGTATATATCGGGGGGTGTGCAAACCTGTTTAGTTTTTACATGCCGCCCAGTTTCTACATATTTACATAACTAATAAGTGGTGTACAAGAGCGGAACACGAACCATCTCATGCTCAATTGCTCATTTATATTTCGAGCTAAAAATATATGTTGGTGCTCGGCTCGCTAAACACAAACTGTTCACGAATAGATAGTCCTTTTTTATATAATCACGTAGCCATAAGATTTTAAGACTTGAGCAAGATTTAAAAATTATTATTTATATTAAAACATAATTTGAATCTAATTTAAGAATTTTTATTCTATTTTCTTAATTAATATTTTAATTGATTATAAATCTTTGTAGCCTTGTTGTCTATTAGATTTTTTTAAAATATTACTTCTATACATAACTTGATGAGTAGTGTTTCGAGCCAAAATGAGCCGAACGTGAATGAACGAGTCTTAGTTCGTATTCTGCTCGTTAACTTAGTGAACGAGCCGAACATGAGCTATTGGCGAACAACGAGTCATTTTGACAGCCCTATAACTAACAATTAATCTTAATTTTTATATTAACATCACTTGAGGCGTACCCATGTAATGCCCAGGAGGGCAAATTCTCATTTATATGAAAAATTAATTTGATCTTTTATCTCTCCTAGAATATCAATTTTTTCCTTTTTTTTTTAAATATCATTTTGACCCTCGTTCTTCTAACCCCCGTCACATTGTGCAACGAGGTAATTTGACCCTCTCAAAAACAGGCTATATATATAAATTAAAGTTTTAGGTTTTAAATATGCAGACGCATAAATAACTTAATGGTATATTTGCAAATCTTCCTAAGAAGCAGTGCATTACATAAATAGCACGAAATCCTTGTGCATTTATACATCACACCAAACTTTTTATATTTACACATGCCGTATTATTTATGCATATAATAAAAAAGTGTATTTTATTTTTTTTTGAAAACATAATGATATTTTTTACGTTTCTAAAAAATTTTGAATGACATAAATTAAAAAAAATTAAATTTAAATATTAGATTTACAAATATATAAGAATTTGAGTCTTACAGAAATGCTCCTAAATTATTTAGAAGATTCACATATATACCACATATTTTGATGTATTTACATATGTAATAGGTAATTTTGAACTTTTACTTTTGTATTATTTTATTTAAATTTAAAATAATTATATTTAATATTAATTATTTTGATGTGATGTAAGAAAATGGGTTTTATAAATATAAAAAACATAAATTTAAATATTAATTGTAAATGGAAAAGTAAATTAAAATAATTATTTTAGCGGTACTTTGAAAACTAAGCCATAAAGTTTCATTATTACTGCGGAAGTAGCAATTGTATTTGACTGTTGGGAAGTTTTGCTTGGCGCTTACGCATTAGCTGGGCATTAGAAGGAATTATGGGAGCTTACTCTTAATTTATATAAACACTTGTTTTTAGCTTATGTAATCTTAAAAAGATTATCCTCGGTGGATTCTGGATTGTCTTTTGTGAAAGTGCATCGAGAGTTAAAATTAACTGAAGGTGAGAAATAAGTGAACCCAGAGTTACTGTGGAGAGAACCGAATGTGTCACCTTTATTCGTATTTTTGACTTCTATTTATAGAGATTTTTTTTTTTATAATTACAAAAAGAAGGGAACAATTGTGGAAACCGTTTTAAATATGGCTAATGCTATAATAAATGATATGGATTTCATTATATTTCAGTATTAGAATTTGAATTTTGATATAACGGTAATTGGTTGATCGATTTGCTAGAATGTGGTTGATTGAGGTAATCCACTGGGCGGCGGACGTGTCTTTTGTTTGGTCGACTAAGGCGTTCAGTCTAACGACGATCTCACCCACTGCAACAAAAGCAGGTCGGCCGTCCAATCGCGATCAGGGGGTTTTTTATGTGATTCGATCGTTCAGTTAATCAACGGATCAATTGATTTATTTTTGTCGAGTGAACCTTGGCTCACTGGTCACTTTGGCTCAAGTCTTACGGGTTCTACGTTCCGTCTATCTGGTCAGTTCGTCGCATCAGCCAAATACCCGTATTTGCAAGGTCTTAGGCGGATCTTGTTACTGCATAAGTGAGATATTAAATGTGACTTACTGCTAAGATGAGTTACGCCTCGTCCTTGGCGGATCATGTCTTTTATCTGGCAATGGATTATCTCCAGAGCTTTGACTTGTCCTCGGTTTAGAGACGCGGCTTCACCTGCTTGGCGGTGACTTGTCGGTCAATTGTTTTCCCTTGGAGGAAGCTTTCTATTTTTGGTCGTTCGTTCGCTTTGAGATTCATGCATGTAGATCTAATGTATGCAAATTAGATCCTTGAATTTTCCTACTCCTTGGTGGTGACAACTATGATAATGACAGTGAAATTATTATGTTAATCGTGTCATAGAAATCAAGAATATTTAATGATTTGTTCTCCCTTTATTTTTGTGCTCGTGTGTCTTGTAAATAATGTCAGAAGTTGGGTTCTTCAGCTTTTGCTAATGTTTCATGAGTTGCTGAGTAGGCGTTATGTTGAGTGGCGCGACCAACAAGACTGTCGATCCGAGCCTACTGCCTTAGCAGGGTATCCACCTGCTCCGACATCTTTTTAAAAGCAGATGTATCGATCGGGATGGAGGATGTTGACGGTGGCAAGCTGCCGAGAGATGTGATCGACTTGGTTCTTGTCTCTGTCGTTGAGTCCCTTAATGTGATCATCCCCCCTCTTCCGTCGACCGATGCAGGCAAAAGCACTTAGCAGGATCAGCCTATGTACCAGAGACTTCCCCCTTGGGTCGGTGGCATGTTGGGTGCAGGAGATGGTAGAGGTTTTGCACCATACAATGGAAAGTTCTATTGACTCATATGCACTAGGACGGATGGCTCGTTGCGAACGTCTGGAGCTTGCCTTTCAATAACAGTCAGCTATCATCAGTTTACTTGAGAGAGAGGTCGAGTCAATGCTTCCCTGAACGACATTTTAGATATGATAGGATCCATTCGCGGTTTGGTAGTTCTATCTCAATTTCATAATGAGGCCGACTGGTAGAGCAAATTAGGTTTGATGGAGAGATGGTCCTCCAGAGGTTGTTTGAGAAGTGGTACGCCTCCTCTGAATCCACGGAGGACCCATTTATTAATCATTTTGTTTGAAACATGTAATGATGATATTCATAATAAAAAAATATTTTTAAAAAATTGAAATGAAAATTGGTGCAACACTTATATTTATGTGTATCTTTGGTTTGCACGCCCGCCTTTTAAATAACACCCCACTTTTGTATCTTTGTTTTCCTAGTCTTTTGATTTCTCCTTCTTTGTGTTCTGATCCTTTCACTCAACTGTAATCGGTCCCAAGTATTCTTTGATTCTTTTATGCATTGTACAGGCAGCTGATTCATCCTTTCTGATGTACAAGGGGGTGAAAGACCTCCAGGATAAATATCTGTCGGATTCTTGGATTATCCTGTGTGAGATACCAGTCGAGAGGTGACCGAAGAACAATGTTAGCCTTGATCTAATGTTCTATCAGGATCAGTTTATGTGAGGTATCTGACTACCCTTCTGGCTGGAGCTCAGGAGCAACTTCACCAAATATGGTGTTATCCCGACTCAAGTCCTTTCAAACTCCATTGCTGCCATCATGACTTTCGTCATGTTTTGTCGCAGTTTTGACAACCTTTGGTCGACCTACACAATTTTATATATCATAAATTAAGACAAATATTGGTATTGGAGGAAAATTTGGAATCAAATTGAAAAAAAAAATTCAGACGCGAATTTGGCCTCTGGTGCCGACGACGCCCAAATAAAGGACCATGACGCCAACAACGCCATTGGGAGTGTGTTCTGAGCATTTTTCATGTGCTGAGCGGTTTTGCCAGAGTTTGGCGTGATTTTGCTCCATAATAACCTCCAAGAGGTGTTTTTAAAGTCCCAAATTCTGACTTGGAAGTCCAGAAACTTCCTAATTTTGAATTCCATGGCTTCAAATTCCAAAAATACTTCAAGGTATGAAGTTTTTAATAGAATAAAGTTTATCAATTTTGACGTGCTGAGATTATACGACAAAGACATCATGAATTTTTGGGAATTTATTTGGATTTTATCAAATTTTTGTAGATTTACCATGTTTGTAGATTTACCATGACACATAGAATGAGCAAAAGAAAAAGAAAGGTAGATTTTGATGATCAAAAGTTTGTTAATTACAAGGCGAACATTTGCTTCAATAGTCTACATACAGCTAAAAAAGTAATTCCGGACCAAGGATTTAAGAATCCGGGAGGAGAAGTTGAGAGAATAATCAATGCTCGAAAGTGGGAGAATTTCTGCTACTTTACTGCCGAAGCGATTATTGGCGTAGTGATGGAGTTCTACGTCATTTTAAAGGAGGCTTCTGAAGACTTTGTGTTTGTTTGAGGGAAAATTATGGAGTTTACTCTGAGGAAGATTAATGAATTTTATCAGTTGGAAGTTGTATATAACTATCAGTACAAATCGTTTTATACTACAAATGAGGCCTTGGATGAGGTTATTTCTTTTCTTACTGATGGAAGAGGAACCTGGAAGGTGAAGAATGGAGTGGTGAAGAATGGAGTTAAGGTAAACTTTCCTCTTTCAATGTTAAATGTAGTATCTAAGGCCTGACACTATTTTATTCATGGAAGATTGATACCAACAAGTCATCATAGTGAGGTTACAATGGATAGAGCCATCTTAAACTTTTGTATCCAGCAGATGAAAGGAATAGATGTAGGCTCTATTTTTTATAGAAACACTAGATCTATTGCTTTTAGAGAGACTTCTGGAGGTTTAGCACACCCTGCACTGATCTTCACATTATGTGAACATGCAGGAATTGATTATAGACCAGAGGAAGAGAGGATTGAACCTCTAAGACCAATTGGGCCTGCCAATATAAAGACTTATGAATCTCATGTTGGATGAAGATCTAGAAGTAGGACCAGGGATATTCCTT